GCTGTGGGTTAAACCACAGAGCCTAGGACTTGCCGATCAGAAGGTTGACGGTTTGAATCCCTGCAATGGGGTGAGCTCCGGTTGTTCGGTCCCAGCTCCTGCCAACCTAGCAGTTTGAAAGCACATCAAAGTGCAAGTAGATAAATAGGTACCGCTCCAGCAGGAAGGTAAACGGCGTTTCCGTGTGCTGCTCTGGTTCGCCAGAAGCGGCTTAGTCACGCTGGCCACATGATCCGGAAGCTGTCTGCGGATGAACGCCGGCTCCCTCGGCCTATAGAGCGAGATGAGAGCGCAACCCCAGAGTCAGTCACGACTGGACCTAATGGTCAGGGGTCCCTTTACCTTTACCTAGGACAACCCTCCTCCTTCTAATTAAAGGCAGCCTTAGGGATGTCTCATTCCCAAGTGATAATTTTACTATTTATACCCTGTACATCTTACTGGGTTGTCCCAGTCACCCTGGGCAGCTTCCAATATATATAAAAATGTAAGAAAACATTAAACATTAAAAAAACTTTCCTATACAGAATTACCTTAAGACAGCTTGGGGGTCAGATAACTCCACAGCCTCCAAAATTTCTCTAATGAAAACAGGACATCCTACGGAAAAGTGGGACATTCCAAGATCAGATCAGAAACTGTGATTGTTTCTCTAAATCAGGGACATCCCTCGAAAATAGGAACACTTGGAGGGTCTGTGCCATAGGCGCCGACTCCATGGGGCTTGAGGGGGCCCGAGCCCCCTCAAAAATTCGTTTGGGGGGGCTCCGCCCCCCCAATAATCTCCGGCGCCCCTCCAGCAGAGAGCCATCGCCGCCCCTCCCCCAGCCCAAAATGCACAGGGAGGGGCGGGCTGCATGCCTCCTGCCCTCCCTCCCGAGCAAAAGCTCCACCCAATTTCCTTTGGAGCTGATTAATAGGCGCAGCACGCTCTCCCCTATTCGCTCACGAGGAGGCGACGCCACTTTATTTGCATATTCATGAGCTTATTTATTATTCATGAGCTTTCCCGGGCCCCCCCAATATTTTTTATAAGTCCGCGTCCCTGGTCTGTGCTTACCTTTTTCCCGAAGTTGGTAGGATTCAGCTACATGCTTCAAAATGCATGTCTTAATGTGCGTCTGGTATGCACATCATGGAAGGTGTGGGCTTCCAGGCAGTACAATATAGCTTGCATTTCTGGGACATGCTAACTAGGCCAGGTTCAATGTCTCCTGCACTTTTCCTGAGTTTGCAAGCCTGATACCTTCTGGGCACTTACGATAGTGAAAAGGGAGTCAGGATCAGATGAAATGAACCTTAAGGACTAGATGTTTTGTACCACAGGGCAGGCCTGCCACAACTTGTCATTCATCAAGCTGAATGTGGCTTGCCACCTATGTCTTGCAGCTTGTCAGGGGCTCAGTAAGCCGTGCTTCTGCTGCCTGCTCAGGACTGAAAATCAAAAGTTGATCAATTGATGTCAATGTCAGGAGCTTGCCCTACACTCGAGTAGGACCCTAGCAGAGACACATGTTCGACTGGCATGTTCTCTCCCTTCTGGTCGATTGTTCGGAAGCTTCAAAAACTTTCTTCAGCCCGAACATCACAGCGACCGATGTCAACAGACACCGACACACTTAGGGATCCGCAGAGTCTTTGCAGCTTGCGTAACAGACCTCAGCAACTCAGCAATTTTGGCTACTCTACTTTATTTACACATAAGCACACATGGAGCACTGCAACATGGCTCCCTCTCTCCCTAGCATTAGACAGCAAAGAGAAAAAAACAAAGGACAATAGTCCCACTTCACAGAACACAGTAACACAAACATCCTGCCTCCATCACTTCCCACTCTGTGGAGTCAAAACATATACCGTCATGTGAAAGACAACAATCCCATAACTGCAATCACGGAGCAGGAATTCTAACAGTCAGGTGGACCATGGACCAATCCAGGTGTGCAGGCTTGGCTACAAAAAGGGGCATTAAAAGCAAGATAGGAAGTAGGAGTAGGAGTAATAATAGGTGTCAAGCTGCTTAGTACAATGGTACCTCGCAAGACGAATGCCTCGCAAGACAAAAAACTCGCTAGACGAAAGGGTTTTTTGTTTTTTGAGCTGCTTTGCAAGACAATTTTCCCTATGGGCTTGCTTTGCAAGACGGAAACGTCTTGCAAGTTTGTTTCCTTTTTCTTAACACTGTTAATACAGTTGCGACTTGACTTCAAGGAACAACTCATAGAACGCGGTGTGGTAGCCTTTTTTGAGGTTTTTAAAGACTTTGGTGATTTTTGAAGCTTTTCCAAAACTTTCCCGACACCGTGCTTCGCAAGACGAAAAAAATCGCAAGACGACAAAACTCGCGGAACGAATTAATTTCGTCTTGCAAGGCACCACTGTATCAGATAGGGTACCCCGGTGGCATAGCGTGGTGGTGGGCCACAGGGGCAGTTGCCCCGGGCACAAAAAATTTAGGAGAGCAAAATTTCAACACCTGGTGCTGCCTCTGTACCGCTGGGTGCTTCCATTGCTGGGTGTCGTTGAAAACAGCTTCTCCATAACCAGGAAGCAACCTCTCCCTCCCTCCCACTTCCTTCATGCAGCCCCGGGCACTGGCAACCCATGATATGCCACTGGGGCAGCCTGCTTTTCAGCTGACCTCTGCTGTTGTGCCTTGAGCAGCAGCTTCATTTGCAGCCGTTCGGCGTGGAGAGGTAGCAACCGCCACTCTGTCAGGCAGAAGCAGAACAAGGAGCGATTGGGCTGCATGCAGGGCCTCCTCATCAGCTCAGCAGAGAGACCAGCAGCCTCCAGCTCCTCTTATCCTTGAGCTCTTTCTATTCCAGCTGGAGTTACAATAACTCTGTAACTCAGATCCGGGGTCTGACCCCCTCCCTCCCCATCTTCTTTCCTTCTGCACCAAGTCTTATGAGTTGCAAGCAGCAGAGGCAGCAAAGTCTGCAATGCACCTGGAAGTGCAGTGGTGGCTGGTGCCCTTTGAGACTGGTAAAACAACAACAACAAACCTATGGTTATGTGAAACATACTCAATAAACACACAAGACGTAACCGGCTGTGCTTTTGAATACATAAGGTATACTATTCATTGTATCAAATTGTAGATTTCAACGGAAGTCTCCTAAAGTTCAACGAAAAAAGCAGAAGACCCAATGGACCAGTTCATTGTCTAGACAGTTCATGCATAAGGTCCATACATGTATAAGTATCTATTCCACCTGTCTGTTTATAGAGTCTAATAAGCCACATGAAGGATTGTTACAGTTCCACAAAATCATTTCACAGAGTCTAAGACAAGACCTTATTTATTCAAAGTACAGCTGGTTACGGGACCCGGGTGCCACTGTGGGTTAAACCACAGAGCCTAGGACTCACCGATCAGAAGGTCGGCGGTTTGAATCCTCGCGACGGGGTGAGCTCCTGTCGTTCGGCCCCTGCAAGTAGATAAATAGGTACCGCTCCGGTGGGGAGGTAAACAGCATTTCCGTGTGCTGCTCTGGTTCGCCAGAAGCGGCTTAGTCATGCTGGCCACATGACCCGGAAGCTGTACGCCGGCTCCCTCGACCAATAAAGTGAGATGAGCGCCGCAACCCCAGAGTCGGCCACGACTGGACCTAATGGTCAGGGGTCCCTTACAAGCACTGACCAGCACAGCATAGTAATACAATACAGAGGATGGCTGAGAGGAGGGAAGCTCATTGCTGCAACCAGCATCTAAACCCTGTAGACTAAAGGCCAGTCACCAAGGGTGGGGGTGGCTATCGTCTGAGTTGTTGTGTGACGGTTGTTACTGTCTGAACATTTTGAAGTTGCCATACTATAAGTCGGAGGTCAGAGAATCGGTGCATCTCGTTCAGTTACGGTCTAGGTGGCAGAAGCTCTTAAGCAGGGGTCAGCTAACTTTTTCAGCAGGGGGCCGGCTCATTGTCCCTCAGCCGGACTATATTTCGAAGGGGAAAAAATGAACGAATTCCTATGCCCCACAAATAACCCAGAAATGCATTTTAAATAAAAGGACACATTCTACTCATGTAAAAACACGCTGCTTCCCGGACCGTTCGCAGGCCGGGTTTATGACCAGAGGCAATACCTAGACCCCCCCCAACCCATTTAAATGTGGGTGCCAGGGTTTGAAACTGGAGTTACCCCACAGAAGGTCTGAGCTTGAACAGTCCTTCCCCTGTTTGTAGCTGCATACCTATGTACGTGTGTCCCTGGGCTGCAGTTATGTGAAATATTTGGTGCACACATCACTGAATGATACGCGGAAAAACATTGTGATTACAAACAGCCTCCGCGGGTCTCCAGAGTAGCGTGCGTCTCCTTTGTTTTGCTTTCTTCGACAACCATTCCTGTTGCCTTTAAAAAAATTACATCCCACGAGGCATTTTCCACACCGGTGTTTTCCCACAAGTGTTGTATTCCGGCGATTGGTTTCTAAAAAGAGCATTGCCAGGTTTCTGAGCGGGACTCCAAGCTGTCCTTACTGGTCTCCCAGCTTCTCCCCGCTCAAAAGGCCAGGCGTACAATTATATTTGGCAGTTGCTGGACACTCTGCACATGCTCAGAGGTGCTTCCTTTGCCATGCTAACACTCCAGGCACTTGGAAATCAATTCCAGGGCTGAGTCCCCCCACCCTGATTCCTAAGCCCAGACTTAAACGAAGCTCATCTCCTATAAAACCCTGCTGAATTCGTTAGGCTATGGCTGGGGTAGGCAAGATGGTGCCCCCCAACATCCATCACCCCTGACCATTGACCGCGCTGCCTGGGGGCTGATGGGAGTCCAACAACATATAGAAAGCATCACTTTGCCAACCGCCAGCTACTTACGGCCTTTTGCAAAAATAGCCTGTCTGGTTTTTCCCTTAGCGTTTGAATCCAAGCATCTTGGCATTTCAGAACAAAGCTCCAAAGCTGCCTTGTCCACCTATTCTAGCATGGGCTAGAATTCTAGGAAGAGCAAGAAGCTGCAGCATGAAAAGGATCTCCCAGGAGATATGGAATAAGCTCCCTGGATCGCTAGCACTAGTGGTGACACGCGCCAGACAAAGGATCTGGCGTTCTATAAAGGAGGCAGCAGGCAGGGACCGGCAATTGGCTGGATTGTCAGGAGAGAGAGCAGCTCTTGTGTCTCAGAGCTGGGAGAGCAAAGTACGGGGAGCAGCCAGAGCGAACTTGGGCTGCAGGCGAACACTTCTGCAAGATCAGCTTTGGAAAAGGTAAGTTACTTTGCTTATTATGTGTTTGTGTGGTTTTTCCTTCTTAGATTTATTATTTTTATTTTTAAAGCATTTTAGTCTTTTATGCAACTTTCCCAAATGTGCACACATTCCCACTTTTCCCAAAACCAAAAGGCTTTGAGGGCATTGCTGGGTGGTTTTGCTGGAATGCCTTTTTAGACATCCGTGCTGAATTTTGTGCTGGGGAAGGAGTAAGAATCTTGACAGCTTCCTTTTGACACTCATAAGGTGGTGGCGGCACATGGCTCCGGCTATGTCTGGAAAGGGCTGCTCCTTCACAGGTGACTAAATCGAGACCTGGAGGGTGACGGTTGTACCCTCTGCTCTTTTCCACATTGCTGCTGACATTGTGGCATAAGCATTGCAGTTAAGAGACCGGCAGTGGAGCTGTTCTCATTTTGTCCGTCTGAATAACATTCCACAGCTGAGATTGCATGGAATTCAGCGGGGAGGGGGGTATTATTAGGTTGTTCTCGTTTTTGTTTTTGTTTTGCGTTTTTATATTATGATTTTAAGTTGTGAACCGCCCTGAAACCTTCTGGTATACAAATTTAATGCATAATAATAACAATGACAATGGTGAAGAAACAGGGAATATCAACAACCGAGTGAAATTCTGGAAGCTTTCAAGAGTTTAGCATTTAAAACCATGTGGTGTGTTAAAATCACGTACACGCCTGGGTGGAAAAAGCCACTAAACTGGACATGTTGAGACTTCCTTTACATTCTACATGCCATTACAAGCGATGTATACAACATGATAGGGCCACTTTTTTAAACCACAGCAGCCTCAACAGTTTCTGTTGTATTTATTTTTGAAATATTCATGCAACAGATTCTTATGCTTTAGCATGCAAGGTAGCTAGCTCATTGTGTGTCTTGTGGAATATTTTTATAGTGTTTAATTAATACAGATTCACTCAGTGCCCTAAGAGGCAGATCTGTAGCTTTGCATTCCTTGTCTTAAGCACATACTACGTGGAACTATCCTACCGAAATCTGTGGGTATGTTTCCATTTAAAGGACTTTCGATGGCATTTCCATATAAAGTATTTGGGAGCAGGTTGCAGGTCTTGTTGAATTTCCTCCCCTTTGAGTGTATATGACAGTGACAACTATGAATTCCTTGCCTAGGTTGCAAGTTCTTTGCATGTGCATACGTATAGGAACTATTTAGCTATCTTTGTCGATTCTTTCCTAAACACCGTTTAAAAGATAATAACAGCAACAACAGAGTCCTCGGACTTTCATCCCACTTAAAACAATACAGTGTCCAGTGGAAAATACCAGCTCAACATGTAATTCTCTCTGGTCATATTGCAATACCCAGTGCTTTTTTTGTGATCCTACTTACTAATACAGAGTACCTCTTATTTTCCCTGCCCATGGCAGCTATTATGGGCTGGCACCCACAGCACATTTATCAAGGCACCTCATTTTTTATTTTTTACCCCCCCAAAAAGCACAGGCAGTACCTTATTATATACAGATTTCAGTTCCATAATATATGTACGTTTTTATAATGTGGGGCAAAATCCAGATAAGGAGAAACACCTTTGAATACTGTTGACATCAGCAGGAGAGATTTAAGGGCATTTCTTCCAACGAAATCAAAGTGCCTTAAAAAGGTACTTTGTTATGGCTAGAATTTGCCAACACCGTTTGGCTGAAAAATCTCAGAACTGCCCCCCTCTCATCAGAAAGGCCAAACTGGATATGGGCAGAGAGAAAACTCTTTATACTCAAGCCTGTGTGTGCGCGCACACATAGAAAACCGGCTTATAAATATTAAATATAATTAACACTGTACAGCAAGCATCCCATGTGATTTAGATATGATTTTCCTTTGATGACTTGGGGGGGGGGGTTATTTAACTCTGGATTTGGATGGCTCCCGAATTTTAGGTGGTTATCTTTTTTGGCAATAAAATAAGAACAACGAAAAACAGAACTGCAAACCTTTACAAAAATTGGCAGCAAGGGGGTTGGGCAATCCGTTTGAGAATGTGGCATTGCGGGGAGGGAGGGGGTTAACTTGCCCCGTTCCTTATAACCACCACCTCCCAAGCTGTTATTTGGCTTGTTAGGAAAATGTGTGCTTTTTCCTTGCAGGGCAAATAGCAGCTCCGTAGGAAGGGCAGTTTGTATGCAGTGGAGGGAGAAGCAATGAAACCCCACCCCCCCAGTCTCTGCCCCGTTGTGGCCCTATATCTGGATGCACCCCCCGCTCGTGCCACAGCTGTTTTAAAAGTTCACAGAGACCAAAGAGCTATTTGCGTATCCCCGTTGTCTCATTTCATTTCACCCTAAACTGGATATGATGGTGGGAAATCATTATTACTGTACTTTTTTTTAAGGCCAAATGCAGCCACGGGGGATCCCCCAGTGCAGTCTGAGACAGGGGCCGTGAAGGTAGGCTTAGTCCTCCCTGGCACAATTTTGTTTGCCTCCTGAACTTAATAGCTGCTGGGGGGGGGGGGGGCTTTCAGATTAGAAAAAAAACATGAGATGGGAAAGGGTTTTGTGGTTCTGATCTAGGTGCCTCCCCCCTCCCCAGCAGCTGCAATTTTTTGCTTTAAAAACTGCTTTTTGTCTGTCTGTCTGTCTGTCTGTCTGTCTGTCTTTCCTTCCTTATATTTTCTGGCTATTTCTCTCTTAGATTTTACACACACACACACACACACACACACACAGAGAGAGAGAGAGAGAGAGAGAGAGAGAATATTTAAAAATTGAATTAAATCAGGGGACAACCTTTATTTCGGGGGGGAAATGACTCTTGCCAATGCCTTTTCCTAAATGCGCTTTTAATTGGGGGTACTAATCTTAGCTTGTTTATTTGGCCCCCCTTCTAATTGCTGTGTTTGGGGTAATTCTTACATAAAAGCAGACTTCATTAGCGAAACCAATGTATTACTTAGAATGCAGTCCCATTAATTTCCGTGGCGCTTAATTGCTGCATAATGACCTTGATTCAAAATTCCACAAGGGTTCTTACGCACAACCGACTGAAGTGAATGAGGTATCCTCTGCTCATAAGGGAACTCCATGTGAATAGTGCAGTATTTGCATGGTTATCGAAGCCTCTGAGCTGGGACCAGTGCGTCTAGGAATTGTATGCACCAATACTAAAAAATTGCATCTCAGTATTTTTGTTTCCCTCTGGCTACTCAAATTAAAATGGACAAAACTAGCCCTATGTGTATTTGAAAACTGCTTTTGTTTTTTAAATAAATAAATAAATAAGCAAAATAGTGTATTTTTTTTAATCTTTTGGGCTTGCAAACATTAATTATATTGTAGCAGTGATCTAATACATGCAGATTCAGTAAAAAAGAAGTTTATTTTGTTGTTTAAGTGGTCGGAAACTTCAGTCTGCCTAAAAAAAATAATAATTCTTTATTATAATTCTTTTAAAGGACCCATGAACCCAACAATAATATTGAAAGGCCGCTGCTTATTGGGCTGTGAAAGCTCAAGAAAAGCTTTGGGTTCTGTCCAGCTCTGCTTAGAGTAGATTCACTGAAATTAAGTTAGTCATAGCTATTTACTTGAGTGTGTCTGCTCTGAGTAAATCTACTACTGGGTACAACCCGTAATTCCTCTTCAGCCCATAACCTCTTTTTCAAATTGACTCAGTGGAACAGGAAAATAACAGAAAAGTGCCTCTGACCATATGCAGTGTGCCTTTCCGTGTGCACTACTGAAAAATGGCAATAAATCTGCAGGCATCTGAGATTAGAGAGCATGGCTTTAAAAAGCGAATGTTTGGCTAGGTGAGCAAGCTTTGAGCACCTAGAAGTCAAGTGCTACCTTCGGAAACAGCATCCATTTTCTGTGATGATGCTGTCTAGGAGCCTTGACTGTATGTCGCGGAATGCTTTCATTTTTTGTGTGTGTTTTAGCTAGGCAGTCCATATTAAATAGCTGTTTCAATTGTTCTTTTAACAAACGGGGGCCGTTTTAATCGTTTAAGGGGTTTAGTTGTTGCTGTTGTTGTAGTCTGCTTTGAAAATGAAGGAGAAACAGGGTAGACATATTTTCTCACATGCCTCCATTCCCACCATGGACCCACATTTGCATTGTTGAGCAAATCCATGTGCCATAGATCGTGGGTAGGCAAACTAAGGCCCAGGGGCTGGATCTGGCCCAATTACCTTCTAAATCCAGCCCGCGGACAGTCCGGCAATCAGTGTGTTTTTACATGAGTAGAATGTGTGGTTTTATTTAAAATGCATCTCTGGGTTATTTGTGCGCCATAGGAATACGTTCATATTTTTTCCCCAAAATATAGTCCGGCCCCCCACAAGGCCTGAGGGACAGTGGACCGGCCCCCTGCTGAAAAAAATTTGCTGACCCCTACCATAGATACTCTACTGAAACCAATTTTTTTGGAGTCAGTTTGGTTGCACGACTGTAGGTTTGGCGTGAGTACATAGAGCAAAAGGAGTTGGGCAGTTGACTCCTTCGTGCTTGGAAAATCTCATTCCGGCTCCCTTGCTCAAAATGGCGCCCTGATAATGCTAGAACGACATCAGCTGCATTGCTGGGTCTGTTTTTTTGTAGAGCTCTAGGTTTAGGGTGCTGGTTTCCTTCACAGAACTACGGTAAGTGGGGAAGTCCGCTTCATTGATTCCTTGGCTAAGAAACATACAACTAATAATAGTACGCCCATGCCTTGCTGCAAGTGGATTTAATGTCTTTCTGCTGCGGAAAAGAATAAATGCCGTTGTCTGCACCACACAGGGCTTTGTTTATTTTAAAAATGAGGTAGTATTTATTTATTATTACATTTGTATTGTGCTGTTTGTCCAGGGGGAGCTCAGAGTGGCGCAGATGGGACTATTTCGTTTTCTTTTACCCATCACAATGGGGGTGGAAAAACCGCTCTAGATTTTCCAGCCCACTCCCAAGTTATTTAGAACCAGGAATTTGTATGTTGTTAAGGGGTTAAGAGCCCACTCTATCAGTCTTAAGCATTGCAGTTGTTAAAGGCCTCCAAAATTCTGCTTCCTTGATAATACTGGGCTGCTTAGGGTAGGCAATTAGCTCCCGTTGATATTAAAAGTCTCATTTTGGATGCTTAGCAGCATCCTTCAGCCCCAGACAGCATTAAGCAGGGGCTGATGGGAATTGTAGTCGAAAACATTTGGCGAGAACCAGGTGGGGGAAGACTGTTACTAGCAGGCATGGCCAAACTCTGCCCTCCAGCTGTTTCGAGACTACAATTCCCATCATCCCTGACCACTGGTCCTGTTAGCTAGGGATGATGGGAGTTGTAGTCCGAAAACAGCTGGAAGGCCAAGTTTGGCCATGCCTGGGTGTATCCACTTAGAGAATTGCAGCTAGAAACTTTGTTTACTTCCTTACGTTTGTAAGGTATTTCTTCATACATTTTAAAAGAGGCCTTTAGGATACATTTTGAGCCTTACTAATTAGGTGTTTGGGCATTTTACTGTTCTGAGGGGTTATCTTGTTTTTTTGGAATCTGTTTTTAATTTGAATTTTGTTGGCTTTACTAATACATACATATATCGACACATTCTAAGTTCTTGAAATTTCCCACCACTTTCCCATACCTTGTCCCATACCTACTAGACCCTTGTCTAAATGGCTCCTTGTGGATGGTAATAATAATAATAATAATAATAATAATAATAATAATAATAATAATTTACAGTGGTACCTCCAGTTACAAACTTAATCTGTTCTGGAGGTCCATTTGTAACCAGAAACCATTCTCAACCTGAGGTGCGCTTTTGCTTATGGCGCGCAGGCAATTTCCGCTCACATCCAGGGGCAAAGTTCGCTTCCAGGAGCACAAACTTCCGGGTTAGCGGAGCTCGTTACCCGAAGGGTGCGCAACCAGAAGTGTTCGCAAACAGAGGTACCACTGTATTTATTTATACCCCGCCCATCTGGCTGGGTTTCCCCAGCCACTCTGGGCAGCTACCAACAGAATATTAAAAACAGAATAAAACATCAAACATTAAAAACCTCCCTAACCGGGCTGCCTTCAGATGTCTTCTAAAAGTCAAATAGTTGTTCATTTCTTTGACATCTGAAGGGAGGGCGTTCCACAAGGAGGGCGCCATTACTGAGAAGGCCCTCTGCCTGGTTCCCTGTAACCTCACATCTCACAGTAAGGGAATTGCCAGAAGGTCCAAGAGAGAGAGAGAGAGAGAGAGATCATTGTACACAGTCCTCTGTTCATCATACTCTTAGAGATTTATTTATAATTAAGCGGGATACAAATTCTGTTAAATAAAATAAATACACTTAGACATAAAGTATCTTGGCCCATGTTTGTTGTTGTTGTTTTGGGAACTGAACTCTCTTTTGGGAGATGACCTTTCCAATTCGACAATTATATGATTCTATCTCTATAGCCAGTAGCTATAGAGCTGGATCGGGGCCCTAATATTTTCTTAACTCTTTTCGAAGTTCAACGATGGGGATGCTAAAGGCAAGTTGACACGTGCATGTACGTCAGCTTGGTCTATCTGTCCTTGATTAGACCGTACACTCAATAGCTGCTGCACTCAATGTGTGAACGGACACTACTGAGAAGCCTATTGTTGGGGGTGATGTGGAAGGTCTGTCTGGGCAGTTGACCTGCTATGGCCCATTCATCCGTGCGCCCCTAGATTCTGCCATCATAACATGGTGAGCAGGCATATGCACGATACAGGCCAGATACAAATCTAAGCTATTTATATACCCTGGAGGTCTGAATCTCTTTAAATTTTACTTGTTCGTAAGCCCTCATTCCCACTGGATTATACAGAGGTTCTTTGCTAGCCTACAAGGGTTACTGCTGCTTGAGCGGCCATTTATTGCGGAATAAATGCCCCAGAAACGCAGCTTTTGTGCGAGGAACTGCTGCGGCTGGTGCTCTTTAAGTAGCCTGAATAGATTCACTAAGGGATGCTGCCCAAAGCCTTGGCTATTGAGAAACAGATCTTCATTTGTAGCTCCCTGCATTGGTTTATCTTTTGTATGGTAGTAGCCTTTGGGTGAGCTTTGTTCATCATGTTCATTTGGGGCTTCTGAGGTGCTGCTCTCGATTCTAACTTGTTTGCTCGGACTTCATTCTGTGTGAAGTTTCAAAGAGGTGAAGGTAATATAATGCGTATACTTTCACATCTTTGTCCTGTTTTTGACTTTGGTCAAATAGGTCTTTGAAGCACTATGAAATATGTTTGACAGCATACAGCAGTGATATGGGTATACACATCCTGGACAACAATGTATATTCTGTACAATTTCTATATTCTGGAGCGGTCAGAATCATTTTTATTCACATTTTGTACTATGCCAATAAACCCAACTGGCTGAGAAGACATTCTATAAAGCCAGACTTACTTCAACAGATATATATCAGATCCTTTCTTTGGGGTTCATTCTCTGACAACATTCACATAATGGCTTGTGAAGCAATTTCATTCATAAACATGAAAGCTTTTTTGTCTGAATGGGCCATCCTTGCACCTAACAGACAAGAAAACCCTAAACCTCACATTTTCATGATGTTTGGACATTTAAAAGTGCCCATATGTAACAGAGCAGCTTCAAATAAGACTCAAAGCAGGCAATCTGAATCAGGTCACTTTGGATCCCGGATATGGATCTTGTTTTATTGCATTATTACGGAATATTTACTCAAGAGATTTCTGTTTGCAAAGCTAACCTTGACAACAGACCCTCCAACATTTCTCCGTTGAAAATAGGGACGTCCTATTCAATAGTAGTAACAACAACAATAAATTTTATATCCTGCCCATCTGACTGGGTTGCCCCAGCCACACTGGGCATCTTCCAACATCTATAAAAACATAATAAAACATGAAACTTTTTTAAAAAAGAATTCTCTATACAGTGGTACCTCTGGTTACAAACTTAATTTGTTCCAGAGGTGTGTGATTATCCTGAAACTGTTCTTAACATGAGGCACCATTAGTGAAAGCGCACCTCCCGCTGCGCACACACCTCTGGCACGCGATTTCTGCTCGCATCCCGGGGCAAAGTTTGCATCTGGGAGCAACTACTTCCGGGTTAGCGTGGCTCATAACCCAACACATACGCAAGCAGAAGCGTTTGTATCCAGAGGTACCACTGTGCAGGGCTGCCTTCAGATGTCTTCTAAAGGTTGTATAGTCTCCTTGGCTCGGAGGTCACATAACTCCATACCCTCCAACATTTCCCCAGTGAAAATAGGGACATCCTAAGGGAAAGCGGGATATTCCGGGATCAAATTAGAAACTGGGATGGCTTCTGTAAATCTGGGACTGTCCCTGGGAAACAGGGACACTTGGAGGGTCTGAGGCAAAAGGATTCAAAGTACAGCTCCCTGAGGTAGGGCTAAGAAGACATTTTAAGGTGAAGGCAAACAGGCAAGAGCAATAATCCCATGACACTTAGCCACAACTGAACATGGTGGAATTTCTGAGTAAACATGCTTAGGATTGGGCTGCATGTTGGGAGGCCGTAAATAAATAAATGCCCCACCTACAAACTGGGAGTCTGTCAGCTATTTGAAAAAGATTCCTTGGGTGGATGGGGGCCTCTGTTTGCTGATCTTGTACAAATGTCAGAGAGACAAGGATGCATTTTGAAGCATGCCATCTAACGGAGAAACCCACAAAGGTCGCTATTTGCTCACAGAGCTTGTGCTGACAAAAGCAGAGAGCAAAAGAAAGGAAGAGGGCAACTCTGGCTATCCTTTCACAAATATTGCTGCTCCCCTTGGAGTGATCTGCTAATGGGGCACTAGTGACCTTTGGTCTACTGGAACATTTCAGGCCCGTACAAAGCAGAAGTGAAATAGAGAGGCACTGGGTTTGCAGTTGGACTCTAGGTTTGAGCTATCTTATTGAAGGGTTTAGGGACGCGGGTGGCGCTGTGGTCTAAACCACAGAGCCTAGGGCTTGCTGATCAGAAGGTCGGCAGTTCGAATCCCCGCAACGGGGTGAGCTCCTGTTGCTCGGCCCCTGCTCCTGCCAACCTAGCAGTTCGAAAGCACTTCAAAGTGCAAGTAGATAAATAGGTACCGCTCCGGTGGGAAGGTAAACGGCGTTTCTGTGTGCTGCTCTGGTTCTCCAGAAGCAGCTCAGTCATGCTGGCCACATGACCCAGAAGCTGTCTGTGGACAAATCCCGGCTCCCTCAGCCTAATAGAGTGAGATGAGCGCTGCAACCCCAGAGTTGTCTGCGACTGGACCTAATGGTCAGGGGTAAAGGTAAAGGGACCCCTGACCATTAGGTCCAGTCGTGGCCGACTCCGGGGTTGCGGCACTCATCTCGCTTTATTGGCCGAGGGAACCGGCGTACAGCTTCCGGGTCATGTGGCCAGCATGACTAAGCCACTTCTAGTGAACCAGAGCAGCGCACGGAAACGCTGTTTACCTTCCCGCCGGAGTGGTGCCTATTTATCTACTTGCACTTTGACGTGCTTTCGAACTGCTAGGTTGGCAGGAGCAGGGACCGAGCAACGGGAGCTCACCCCGTCGCAGGGATTCAAACCGCCGACCTTCTGATCGGCAAGTCCTAGGCTCTATGGTTTAACCCACAGCGCCACCAATGGTCAGGGGTACCTTTACCTTTATTGAAGGGTTTTTAAAAAATGTTTATTTCTATCCTCTGGCTGCAGTTCAGCTAGTCCTTTCATGATGACCTTTACGCTTTTCTCTTCCTCTAGTTCTGCCGGTTCTTGAGAATGACCAGAAAGATCTTCACCAACAGCAGGGAGAGGTGGAGGCAGCAGAACGTCAACAGCGCATTTGCCAAGCTGAGGAAGCTCATTCCCACCCACCCTCCGGACAAAAAGCTCAGCAAGAACGAGACGCTCCGCTTAGCCATGAGGTACATCAACTTCCTTGTCAAGGTGCTTGGGGAACAAGGCCTGCAGCAGCCAGGGATGAATCCACGGGGAAGGATACTGGGACTGTTCCAGCCAAGTCCAAGTTTGGAAAGCATGGAAGACTTGACTCTCATTGAAGACTCTGAGGTCCCTTCTCCCAACACAAGCAGCAATGCCCCAGAATGTTGGTCAGAGGCCTCATCTCCGTGACCTGCTGTTTGTCGGGGCTGTAGCCCTCCTGGTAGTAATTTGATAGTTTCCCTTCTTTATACAAGTTGTGGGTTGTCTGCCTATGTACAGTATTTATATATATATCTTTTGCTCTTTTAACGAATGTATTTTGTGTAACGGTTTCTTTGGGAGATGCTAATTTTCAGTACTTAAAAAGAGGGATATCAAATCTCTGGAAGTTGATCAGGATTCCAGCAGCTCTACTTGCCACAAAGTGCTTTGATCTCAAGGCCAAGGATCTTTGGTATGGCTCACAGAAAACTACCCATGATGCATTGGTGAGAGTTATTGGAGCCAATAGCTGGTGACTGAGCAGCAACGTAACTTCTAGGCCCAGTTCATACAATTATTGGGCTGTGGAGCCAGTGTGGTGTAGTGGTTAAGAGCGGTAGTCTCGTAATCTGGTGAACCGGGTTCGCTTCCCTGCTCCTCCACATGCAGCTGCTGGGTGACCTTGGGCTAGTCGTACTTCTTTGAAGCCTTTCAGCCCCACTCACCTCACAGAGTGTTTGTTGTGGGGGAGGAAGGGAAAGGAGATTGTTAGCCACTTTGAGACTCCTTCGGGTACTGATAAAGCGGGATATCAAATCCAAACTCCTCTTCTTCTCTTCTTTTCTGTGGTGGAGTGAGTCCTCTCTACCTTGTTTCCTACAATGTGTGGCATGAGGGCTGCATGTGATCTCCTCTTACCTTTCCTAAAATGAAAGAAATGCTTGAGTTGGGCCACTGCAGAGACAGCTGTATGAGGAAAATCTTCATGTCACACATTTCTGGAGGCTTGTGGAAGGAAGGGCTGCAAGCCCATTTCTTCACTTCTGAGTAACGTATACTGAAGATTCAATCTATTTTCAGTTTAAATTGTTTTAAAAGTCAAGGCCATCCTAACATCAAAGGTAGTTGCTTTCAGCAGCAGACTGCAGATAGAGCACCATATCCCTGCCTTCAGTCTTGGTCTGAAAACTGAGCCCTGGAGCAGAGGTTGTCATATTTTTCAAAAATCTTTTTGCCTCAGGTGAAAACAGTACCTAAGCCCCCTGCTAACTCATTTCTGTTGCCTTCATCAGCCATGCAAGTTATGAATCATCGTCATTGCTCTTATGTCTGCATCTCATTTCCAGTTTTTTCTTTTTGCTTTGCAGCATATGTCAGAACTGGAAAATCAAACCAAAAAATATTTGGTATATTTTCAGAGTGGAAACATATGAGCCAAGAGGGGATGAATCATGCCCAGTACACCTGCTGCAGTTTTATTCGAAATTGCCAGAAGAAATAAACTAGGGTTGCTTATTTAATTTTTCAAACATTTGAACCTTAAAAGACATACGTTCAAATTTGATTATTTTTCAGGAACAGCAGCTGTTTACTCTGGTTTTGTAGATTTGGGGGACAAAACATTTTTAAATTTGGCTATAGTCAGTAGGAGAGTGGCGTGGACTTTTAAACACATAAAATTTAAATTTAACAAGTGGAACTAATCAAATTACTCAAGAAGTGTTTCCTAATGGGAAGCACAGTTTAATTGAAAGATACCCGTTCCACTGCTTTTTATAAGGCAGCAGGTTGCTGTTTGGATTATTTACAATGAAAGAGAAATAAGACTACATTATATTTCACCTACTTCTCAGACATTCATCAAAAGCACTATTCCCCAAACTTGTTGATTTACAGAACAATCCTAAGCATATCTACTCAGAAGTAAGTCCTACTGAATTCAATGGGGCTTAGTCCCAGGCTTGTATGGTTAGGATTGCAGCCCAAGGCACCCTTTTTATGGATTAAAACTGGTTGTACAATTCAGGGCCAGACTAGATGTGACATATGATGAGTGCTTTCTGTTTTATTTACTAAAACAGCAGCATTGGATACCCTGAACCAAATCGGAACAGTGGTGGTGGGGGAGAGCTCTTAAATCAGGAAGAAGGCTCTCAGAAAGCAGGTTGCTTTCTGGGGGCAAATAGCAGCTTTAGGGGTGCCCTCCTCCCCAATCTGGACTGAGACAGCAGTGGCAGCAAAGGGTTAAAGCCAACAGTCCACTGCAGCCCACCGTGGTACCTTGGTTCTCAAACTTAATCCGTTCCGGAAGTCCGTTCCAAAACCAAAGCGTTCCAAAACCAAGGCGTGCTTTCCCATAGAAAGTAATGCAAAATGGATAAATCCGTTCCAGCCTTTAAAAAAACAACCCCTAAAACAAGCAATTTAACATGAATTTTACTATCTACTGAGACCATTGATCCATAAAATGAAAGTAATAAACAATGTACGGCAGTCACACTATCAATCAATCAGTAGCTGGACTGGGTTCCACACAGTCACACACAAAAAGAGCCGCAAAAACAAAACACAAAATAAATAGCCAAAACAGACAGAACTCAGTGTAACACTAAAATCGGAAGCGTCATACTCAAAACAGAGCATGTTCAGCTTCCGAAAAAAGTCCGGAAACTGGAACACTTCCGGGTTTGCAGTGTTTGGGTTCCAAATTGTTTGAGTTCAAGGCGTTTGAGAACCAAGGTAACACTGTATACAAATAAATATACAAGCAGTAATCATGTCAATAACATAACATAACATCTAATCTGGCTTCAATCTTACACCGGAAAAGGCTAACTTTTCGGAGTAGAAGTTTGAATTGCCTGCCTATGGAGGATTTCCCCTGCCCTCAGTGTTTCTGCATCAGTAGCCAATTTGAGCAGCCCCCGGTCGATCGTCTTTTCAGTTGCAAGGGGCAGCCCCTTCTGAGAGTGTATGCCTGCGCTGAGAAGAATGGGCTGGATGATCCAATCCCATCTGCAGAAGGGGCACAGTGGAGTTAATATCCCCCTTCCCCAGCAGGCAGATCTGGGAGCAGTAAATCATGCAAGAGCTGCAACTAGCAGCCTTCTCTGTGTGAGAGCATTTTGAGCCCACACAGAAACCTCTGAGGATGTAATTGTGTGATTTCGGGCGGCATACTTGTGTGTGTCCCTATGCACACTTCGAGAATGGTTGGACTAAAGTGTTAACTCCTCCAGCGAAGTCAATGAAATAGAAGTATTTCATTTAATTTTAACTGCATCTTTCATTATTATTATTATTTTAGAAAAGTTGCCACTCAGCCCTTAATTATCCTGAAGATACTATCAAGGAGAATCTGCCACTTGGAAAAAAACACACTAGCCACTAATAGTGGCCCCATTATTATTATTTTTAAAACATCTTTTAAAATGCTTATTTTGTTACACCTGCCTGCTTCTAGATAAGTTGAAGCTTTGGGATGTTTCTCCTCTCTCCTTCCTTTTTATTTTATTTTTTAAAAAATCTTTATTAAACATATTTAACAAAATTATACAGCAATATACTATATTACAATTTATATCCCATCCCATACAGCAATTTTTTTTTTAAAAAAAAGAATACAAGAAATTTAAAAGGACCTAAAACAGACTTCCAGATGTTCTCAAAAACCCCTGAATTACACTTGTTATATTTTACACAGCATCATACTATTATATTATTTTCATAAATCTTTATTTTCATAATTCTCTTTCCTTCCTTTCACTGGCTACTGCAATGCCTTCACACGCTCTCCCTGTGTACATACCTCATGTAAAGCACTTTGCACACTGTAAAGTGTTCTGGGGACTATTGATTATAAATGTGGCTGTCGCCGGCCTTTTAAATCTATTTATTTATCTATTATCCAGGTTTATTTTTTATTGTGTGTGTTTTTTAAAACTGTTCATCTTAGGAAGATGCTCACCTTCTTAACAAACATTTGTAACGTTTTAAAGCTTATTAGGGGAAAATCAATACGTTACTTCATTCATTTGTTTCCAGTATTCATATACAGCATTTCAAGAGCAAAGCTCTCCTGAGGTGGCTTACAGAAACATTCGAAATCATAAAACATAAAACCCTTTCATTACAAAACTTTAAAGAAAAAGAAAAGCAGTTTAAAAACAGGATAATGGCTCAGCATGGTAATTCAGATCAGATTATAATCAAAAACAGAAACAGTTTAAATGTAATGAAAGACCTTATACAATTAAAGACCAGTCTGATTGCTACGTGTTCCAAACACTTGCCCCTCAACAGGCAATTGCATTCTCTGTGTTGAAGTTTCCAAACCATTTCGAAAGACAGCCTCATATAGAATGCATTACAGTGGGCTAGTCTGTAACCAGGACGTAAACAAGTGAGGGAAGATATTTTTCTCTGGAGGTTCGTAGCTGGCAGAGCAGCTTGAGCTGCTTTGAGCATCCCAGTCACTGATTCTGTCACCTGTGCCTCCATAGATAGCTCTGTTTGCAGGAGGAAACAGCCCCCACAGCTGCAAACTTGCTCTTTCAAGGAGAATACAACCCATCCAAAACCACTTGCAACTCTCCATCCAGATTGGCTGGCTTCCTGTGCCATAGGTGGTCGAAGCCTCAGCTTCTTCATGTTCCTCCACCTCAAAACCATTTGCAGGTACCCACTGAGGACTTCTACAGTCCCCCTGGGATCAGTACAGTGGTACCTCGGGTTACAGACGCTTCAGGTTACAGACTCCACTAACCCAGAAATAGTACCTTGGGTTAAGAACTTTGCTTCAGGATGAGAACAGAAATCGCTGTGCAGCGGCGCGGTGGCAGCGGGAGGCCCCATTAGCTAAAGTGGTACCTCACATTAAGAACAGTTTCAGGTTAAGAACAGACCTCCAGAACGAATTAAGTTCTTAACACAAGGTACCACTGTAGTAATAATGATAATTTATTATTTATAGCCTGCCCATCTGGCTGGGTTTCCCCAGCCTCTCTGGGTGGCTCCCGACCAAATATTAAAAACACAATACAGCATTAAATATTAAAAACTTCCCTAAACAGGGCTGCCTTCAGATGTCTTTTTAAAGTAAGGTAGTTATTTATTTCCTTGATTTCTGATGGGAGGGCGTTCCACAGGACAAGCGCCACTACCGACAAGGCCCTCTGCCTAGTTCCCTGTAACCTCACTTCTCGCAGTGAGGAAACTGCCAGAAGGCCCTCGGAGCTGGACCTCAGTGTTCAGGCTGAATGATGGGAGTGGAGACGCTCCTTCAGGTATACTGCGCCAAGGCCGTTTAGGGCTTTAAAGGTCAGCACCAACACTTTGAATTGTGCTTGGAAACATACTGAGAGCCAATGTAGGTCTTTCAGGACTGGTGTTATATGGTCTTGATAGGTGGAAAAGAAGGGTAGATCTGGGTGGCATCTGCACACCAGTGACACTGTGGCTCAAAACCTCTACACGGCTTCTCCCAGCAAATGTTTCATGCAAACGTTAAAAAGCATGGGAGACAAGATGGAGTCCTGAGGTCATTGCTTTCCATTTGCCTGTGTTAAACGGCACTTAAAGTCTCTTGACTGAAATTCTGCTTTCTAAGTGAGCTTCAAGGAACATACCAATAAATATTGTACTTTGCTGCAATTGCAAAGTGGCGAAG